CAGTGGACATGCATAGAATGAGGAGCCCATTGTTACTGGCCATTTGTGAAAAGTTTGTTGTAAATCTGCATCATTCAGAAATTCTGTCAGGGAAACTGGGGGGAGAAGCCAGTCCTCCAGAGCAGCATTCAACTGCCTTAACTGTAGTAATATCTTGTTTCCTCCACTGCAATCATTTACTACACAACTTCCAACTTGGCAGCAAATGAGGCAGTGCATAAACATACTTCAGAGCTTGCCCACCAGCATAATGAATAATCTGCATCAGTTCAGAACTCCAGACTCTGGAGAGAAACAGCCACAGACCCTTCCCCCATGTCCCTAACCTGTCTCACTCACCTCTTACCTATCTGCACCTTATGACCTCCTCCTCTTTGTTATTCCCATTCTGATTTCCCAGATACCTGTATGGCCCCTGTGCTCATAGTTGCCAGCTCCCATCCCCTAACCCTGCTCTCCAAGTTCCTGCACACACTCCCTTTTTGCTTCTACTCTTTTGGCTCCTGCAACCTCTTTTCCCTGTTCGTCCATACACCCATCTCCATTCGGCCATGACTGCTGCTTCCCTTTTCTCCTCGCTACTGGAGATCAGCTGGTGAGAAGCGCAGCACCCCTTCCCTCAGCCTGGTGGGCAGGCCTGCAGCCAGGATTAAGCACAGAGGGGCATAACTCCTCCATGAGTACGTGCAGACAGAAACTTCTGAAAGTAAAGCTCCTGAATCTGAGGAGTCTCCAACATGAACAACCTCATCACTAGGGCAAACTCAGGGGTGTTTTTCTCAAGACAGCAAAAGCCATCTTCCCTATGTTATGGTGACACTTTACTGAATGCCAAGTATCCAGAACTTCATCCCAGTGAAGTTCATTCCTCTACTAGCACTAAAACATCTCAGGAAACAACTGCTGGATTTATTTATTTTAAAGAAGGTCATTTAAAGCAACACAGTTCCCACAAATCTTGTCTTCAGAAACAACTGACAAATTAGTTAAAAGTTTTAACTAAAAGAAAAAGAGAAAGAATCAGTCAAGGACTGAGTCTTACCTTGAAAAATTTCAGCCAAAACAATTAAAGTTCAGAGAAGCTATAAAGGAAACAGTTCCTCATAGTACGCAGTGACAGGTACATTTCACTCTGGGCAATGCTACTGACTTTGCTTGTAATTAATAAATCTACCAGACAAACATAATTGTTCCAGCTAAGCAAACATTTCCAGTCACACTGATGCAAAAAAAAAAATCATTCCTCTTATCAATTAGAAGTTAGTCCACGTGTTGTTACCATCTCTCCACACTGCTTAAAAGCGTCTAAGCATCATTTTTCTCCCAGCTTCACAAGCCCCAAATTTCAGGCCCTGCCATTCCAGTCCATGGAAAACTGCAGCACAATCCACCATCCTTTGCATGGCAAAGAACACAAAAGCAAGAACTGGTCCAGAATCCCTCAAGGTATTGGGAGAAAACCCAAAACCAAGAACTGATCCAGAATCCCTCAGGGTAATGGGAGAAAACCAAATGAGTGCTTCCTGGCAGTGCTACCCAGATCACCCTTTCTTACCATGACATTCTGCTCCTCACGTCAGCAGTTTCCAGTTTGCTGGAAGGTTCCCAGTTTGCAGCCACATGGCTACACAGCCTCCCATCCACACTGCATCTGCCCTGGAGCTGTACTCAGCAGGACCCTTGCAGCCCCGTTCCACACACATCCGAGACAGAAAGACAAAGTGAAACAAGGACCACATGGTCGCTATGTCTAATTTTTCTATACTGAGTTTTAAAAGCTGTCCATAGGGATCCTGATATAGTAGCACTGGAAACAAAAAGGAGAAGTGATGTACACAATTATACATTATGTACTTGAGGGGAAAAAACAACCCCAAAGCACTAGAATTTTTCAAAGCCAGCAGCAGAGTTCAAACAGGTCCCTCCCATCTAAACTTGGGTAGCAATTATGGATCTATTGCTGGTTTTGAAAACTTGTGAAAGGACCAAAAAGCTGCAAAATACTTCTAAAATAGGCAAGAAGAATAAGATATGCTCTTACACAAACCTGAACACAGCAAACGGGATTGCAGTGGTAGAAACCTCTTACATGAGGGAATTATCAGCAACAAAAACACTGTTTAGACATCCTACACAAACAACGGCATATCTGGTTCAAGATTATATGAAAACTATTGCCTATATCTTTGAAAATAAGCAGCAATTGTAGAGGCTTATCCTTTGTCACATTGCATCAGAGCTACCTTAAGGGTGAGTTCTTCGGTCATTCTCATAACCAGTTGCCATGAAGGTTCCCTTAGCTGGAACTTCAGGCATCTAAAATAATGTATTTACTTTTGGAAACTTGGATCTAGGTTTATCAAGAGTGCAGGGTGCCGCAGAGAAAACAACAAAGGCAAGAACATATAGTAATGGAGAAAGAGGAAGAAACAGAAGGGAGGAGCAAAAGGGAAAAAGCAAAAGGACTTCTGTAATTTCAGCACGTCAGCACAATTTGTTAAGTTTAAAGAAGCCATTAGGAGTTGCCTGTGGTGGCGGTGACAGTGCATCATCAAGCAGAGAAATGCAGAGGGCTCTTACTGCAGCATATGTGTCTGGCTGGTGTCCTTTTGTTTGTCAGGTACCTCGTAGTGCGGGGAAATCTTGCCGAGGCCGCTGTCACTCAGCATCCGCTTTCGAACCGCAGGGTTCCACCGATCTGATATTCTAGGGAGGAAAGAAGGAAGAGAAAGGCATTGACCCCTCAGAAATTCACTCGCATGCTCCGCTTTGAAGCTCTCTTATGCTTACCAGCTCTCAGCATTTTTCAGCTCATAGCAAGCTAAATTGGCTTAATTTACTATGAGTACGAGGCTTCTCCTAAAGATGAATAGGATCATTTCTGCTCAGAGGATGAGAAGAAACAGAGACACTTCACCACCGTTCTTAGGCACAAAGGGCTTCAGGGCCTTGTACAGTGGTATCAGAGCCCTGACCATGCAGAGATGGAGTTTGTAACTAGATCGATCAGATTTATGGTGGGGAAGATACAGTCAGGGGGTGTGAGGAGATTGAAAGGTGCCTAAGTCCATTAGTCCTGCTGTGAGCTCCAGGATGCCTAAGGGAGTAGATGTTATTCCATTGTCCTTCTGTCATTACCATGGCTGCTTCTGATCCTGTCCCCAGCTCCCCACCTAGGATTGGCCCCCCCCATCTCCCAGTCCTTCAGAAAAGGGGACCAGAAAAGAGATGCCCAGCTCTAACACGGCTGCTGAAGGCCAGATCCCAGCACCACTCACCCAGAGGCCTGCTCCACTACCAGATCCGTCATTCCTGGTGGCGTCCCCGCCTGCTGTGACATTACCAGCTCTGGGTCCAGAATAAAAATCTCGTCCTGCGAAATTTCTGTCACAAAGTGCAAATGTTCCTGTTGGAGTGATACAAGGAGCGAATAATGAACCTGCAGCATCACTGGTCTCTCAGAGCACCCAGCTGGCTGTATGAAAGCTGGGTGCACATTGGGGTCTCTGAAGAGCATTCATGGGACTCTGTGTATTTATTTACGTGCACGCACACACTCAAACACACGAACTAAAACCAAAGCCACCAAAGTCACCAGTAAATACTTCATCAATTTCAAGCCAAACAAGATTCACAACCAGCAACCTTCACATTCACAAGCTGCTCTTCAGTGACTGTGTCATTCCAATGAAAACTGGAGGTCACCCCAAGAAGCCGAGGTTTCCATTTCGAAAGGAGGACCAACACCCAACGTTTATCCTCCTTTGACGGAATTTTCTCTTGTTTGGGCGTACTCTCCCAGACCTCCATTGCTTGTACATCCTGGTTTCATAACTCCATTACCAAAGCTCTCTTTCTCAGTCCCTCTTTCTTATTACTGACACAGAAGCCTTATTGTCCTTCCAAAAACACCGAATGTGAGTAGGCCTGTCTATGTAGGCAAACGGGCGGGAAACTGCCCACTGTTTGTGCACTGGGACCATCACACAGTATTGAACTTTTCCCCCCAGAAACAAAGGAATAGGAGGGAAAGATGACGGTTTGTACAGAGTCAAGTATTCAAGAAATGCAGAATAAGCCAAACAGAGTCACATTGCCCAGTTTAACCCATAGCAGCATCTTCTTCACCCTTGCTTTCCAAATGCTAGTGTACAACTTCGTCAAAGCACTTATGTGACTGTGTGCAAAGAAGCCCCGTGGTGGCTACCTGCAGACACTGAACCTGGGACCTCTGAACTAAGGCCACCGCTCCTTCTGCCTGAACTAAACCACCAGCTGCTTTTGCTAGAACAGTCATATGTTCATGTGATTCAGAAAGAGCTTACACAGTTCTCAAGGGGACCAGATAAAAATGACCACTGTGTGAAATTAACAGTTTGCACTTAATGCTGAGCCACTAATTGGCCTGTTCTGGCTACAAATCAGGAACACCAAAAGCTCTATAAAATTTTCAAAGTGTCTTTCAGAAAATCTGTTCAGATTGTCTGAAATCTATACTAGAAGTTTGAATCCAACAGAACTACGTGCTGTTTCAGGGTTCCTGGGGAATATTTGACATAGCTCTGTTCATAATTCTCAACTTGTACCATCACCTTAATTTCCATAGCTATTCCACGTCACACACAGAGGATCAGGACCTCTGGTGACTAAAAGCATCAGCGAAAAGATAAAGTGAAATACTCTGGTGTCACACAGATGCCCTTAGTAAGACTTGATAAGAATGACAAATGTAGAAAATTCTGACTTGTACATCAGATTGGTGGTAAACTGAAGGACAGATGGTCAGCAGATATAAAACGTCAGTGAAATTATGTGAATTACATCAACTAAAAAAATGGCCCAGAATTTTTTCTCTACTTTTCATGAGACATCAGTAGCATTTTAGAATACACTGGAGGAATGGCAGATAATTCATTTTAAGCTGCATTTGAGATAGCTTTTAGAAAAATCTATAGAAATGGTAACTGAATAAAGATTTACCTGAGATCTGTCAATGCGGTAAAAACGATCAGCAGAAGTTGCTGCAAGACAAACAACAGAGCTGCAGTGAAGAAAATGGTCTGAGCAGAACTGCATGGACAAGATGAGCTGAGCTAAAATCACCAGCACGTAAGATAACATCTGTGTCAGTGAAGTCACAGCGGTTTCACGAGAACATAATCCGATTCATTCATTATGTCCCTATTCCTATCCCATTAAATGGTGAATTTAAACGTGAGGTTTTACAAAACAATATTCACTGAAATTATTAACTTGAAATAAATATTTTAAAAACCTATAAAACAGGTTCTTCTTATAAGAAGAATTGACTGCATTAAAAATGTGACAGAAAAACCTGCATTGTTCCAATGAGAGTATAGCAAGCGTATCATGAAATTGATAGGTCTAATAGGATTAATTCCAATTTTGAATCTAAAGAACAATAACATGCTTGGGAGCTCTTTGTAAATCAAATGCATGGCCACAGATATTCACCCTGAATTACCAATACGCTCAAAGAAAATTTATGTTACTCATAAAATGAGTAACATAACGAAAAACTCATGAAAATAGGGGAAATTCACTAAATAAAGCACCTAATATGAACCATGTCACTGTCAAATAATTTCTGTCACTAAACCCAGCAGTGTTTAGCAGTCACCTACAATGTGCTTCATCAGATAGATAGGACTTTTTTGTTTATCCTTTGCATTTAGTTTGGCTAGTGAAATCAGATTCGTTCATTCTGGAGTTTTGACACAGAGCACAGTGATGTAGCATTGTAGTTTTTGGCACTGCAAGGGAATATCAAATCCCTAAAGACAAAAACTGAATGCATCTACCCACCCAGCTTTCTCCAAAACCCAAGCAGATTCTCAACATGTTTTTACTCAATTTCCCTCATGAGAGACAAGGAAGAGTGATTAGAAATTGTCAAGGAGAAATTATTTTCGTTTAGAACAATAAAAATTTCAGTCCCCACATGCTGAAGCTTTTGCAAAAGCAGATGCCACCCATTTTAGCTGCTGATTCCAGAGGTCTGGAGCCTGATGTAAAGCCCAGATAAGCTGTCTGCTTTGACAAAGTCTGGGTCGAATATAAGTGCAACTCTCCAGGGAGTTACATGAAGTGCAGTCTTACAAGGAAAGGGAGGTATATTTCTGTCACCTAAACACTACAGTATCTAAACACTGTAGTACTTAAAGAGAAACCAGAGTGAAGAACGCAGCGCTACCAGCAGCAGCATCTTGCCACAACCAGCAAGTCCAGGCACTGCCAGTAAGAGCTGCTCATCACAGCAGAGACACTAATAAACTAAACCTCTAACCACCCTTAGAAGAACATGCCCCCTTGGGGTGACAAAGCTACGGCAGACATTTTAAATGATAGATGAAGGGCCTGTTTCATTTTTCAGAGGGGGAAGGGGTACACCCAGCTCCCTTTTTTACCTGCTCAGTGTAACAAGAAGGAACAGTTACCCCTCCATGGTAATATTCTTGGATGTGCTATCCTTCACATGCATACCAGAAGCAAGCAGCATGCTAGGCACAAGAGAAGGGACAGGTACTTACCGTCTAGGAAGCACCATCTAGGAGAGAGCCTCTGAACAGAAAGTACTCTGGGGAAAGAGCTTTCTTGGTCCTGGATAGGGCAGGGAAGTGACATAAAAAAATAACATTTTTTTTTTCTCTAAAAAAGACTATTTTCTAGAATCTGGTGTTTTTTGTTTTTTTTTTTTTCTTTTTGCTCTACTGACATTGCACGATGTGCAAAACCTACATAGCCCACTGGATTTGCTCCTCACTGACATCAGGGTTTGACTGTAATATAGAAGAGAATAAACTGACACAGTTAGCTTCAGCCACATCCTCGGCTATCTTCTTCCCTTCAGCTCAGCAATACCAAAAAGCTTTGCATCAAAACCAGCTCTCTCAGCTGTCTACAGCCACCCTCCCCCCCTTATTTGTGGGGACACAGGAACAAAGAAGAGTGAAATAAAAGGCCAAAGATACACATCAGTAACACAAAACAACCATGAACTTCAATTACTATGTTTGTTTCTTGTGTGCCTGTCACCTTCCTTTATTCTAGCTCAGTATTTTTACACACTTTCCATGCTCTACCGATCTGCCACTCAAAGTAATTGCCCACTTTGCCTGTCCCTGGTATGTCCCAAATGCACATCAGGGTAAGAAAAGTGTTATTTTCTGCACCCAGAATACAGAGAGTGCAGACCTGGGGACCACCACCAGCCAAGCAGACATCCTACATCAACATCTTCCTTCTCTGGCTAAAAAGGCCTGTTCCTTGGGAGTTGACAGAGGTTATTTCAGGAACCCAACCAAATGACTGGGGAGAAACGAAGGACTTCTTCCTGACCTGTACTCACCAAAAAGTCAAACAGGCTGTCCCTTGCTTTTTCAGCTCTCACTGAGCTGGGGAGGCAAAAGGGATCTCAGAAAGCAGAGGGTGGTCATGGCTCTGCTCCATGCTGCCAGTGGATGGCCAGCCAACTTCCTAAAGCCACTGGAACACGTTTAAACACAAATAGATTTGCACAGGACATAACACAACAGAATGGATCTTGGGCACACACCCCAAATTTGTATAGAGCCAGACTATCCTTATTTACATCTTAAGCAGTAAAATCAGCACATCTGCTAATGATGAAAATTCAGGCACATACTGGCTCAAGTTTAAACTTTACTCCTCCTTCAGACAACAGACTACAGAGTGGTATACCAAATCCTAAGGCAAGGAAAGAAAAAGTAGAAGCAATGGGGAGGAAAGGTACCTTTGAGAAAAGTATTGCTGAGCATGGAAAAGCACAGAATGTGAATAATATATATGCACATATATTCATAACATGGGCATAGATTGGTGAAAACAGGCCAGGATACAATGATATCTCACTGGGACTTCTCAGAATATCACACAGGAGCCCAGCACCTTTCCCGATGGTAGGATGCAGGACAAACAATTTTTGTATTGGGAATTGTACAGCTATATCAGGTGAGTCGTTGTTTGAAGGTCCAGCACCAGAAAGTAAAGGCTGGCTGAAAGAGCAAGTTGCAAAAAGAGATTTCAAACAATCATGGGTTTTCAGCCAGAAGAGACAACAGGCCTCTGAACACCTAACACCTAGCCTAACACAGAAATCCATCACTCCAGCCTGAACAACAGAAGACCTTTTTGAAAGGCACACAGCCTAAGTGAAAGAGTCCAAGTGACACAAACCCCACCATTCCCTCAGGCATCTGGCATCATGTGCATAATTTGAAGGAGGAAAGCAAAGTTGCTTTGTATACAAGAAGAGGAAAAGTGCAGAAACACCAACACAAAGTTAAAAAGAAAGTTTACAGTCTATCAAACACATCTGGAACATTCAAAGGTTTGCAGTTTCTTATATATTTTCCTCTGCTTTTTCTGCCTAGTGTTATATCACTAAGAAAACCTAGAAGTAATAGATTCTCAGCAATTTATCTTACTGTTGTGCAAATCTGACATATTTCTAAAATACTTCTTATCAGAGTAGCCATGTGTGAGAAAAAGTTAAGAAAAACATAAAGAATATATTGACAGGAAAGTGGGAGTTTCATCAGTTCAATTCCCCAGGTTGCCCAGACATGCGTCAGTAAGACCTTGGGGAAGAAGCAGTTTGCTTTCTTCAACGTGGGGAAAATCTCAAAGAATGCTGAAGGAAGCTGTCTTTTCAGTCTGGCTGGGTAAAGCAATTTTTTTGACTACAGAGCAAATAATGTCCTCATAAGTTAAGAGGCAGACATTGCTCTTTGATTTACATAAAGGTATCTGACATTTTTTCTGCCACCTAAGAAAAGATGAGGTTGTATAGATATGCACAAGTTCTTGGCTTCCCCAAGTTCCTGGCCAGCAGGGTGTCTGCATGCACTAGGCGGTGTTTTCAAGCTGCTCTGATGACTATTAGCATTTTGGATTTTGATGAACACTCATTGCTTAGCCAAGTGAATGAATATCAGTGCCTGGCATGATGCTGCTCCAAATGTTATTAATTTCATTTGGTATCATGGCAGCTTTTGCAAGGTCCATCTTATTAGCTTCTGCCTCTGTGACTGACTGGAACCATCTATTATTGCCTTTCCTTTCTGGTTATCCAGGACAGAAAAGCAAAGACATTCCAGACAACTCATCTGTTGTCTCCTCAGTACCTTAGAGTTTGGCTACAGTCCTGGCAGCAGATCTTGTCCAAAATGTCACTACAGAAACTTACAGATTTTTCTTGACTAAAAAAAGATATATATATCTTCTGATGCATGATACCTGCACCTATAGCCTCCCAGATAAAAATGAAACAGCCTCAATTCTCTCCAATATTTAGACTCAAGGATTTCACTTGATCCCATAAACCTTGTTCTCATATATAGATTTTTGTCTCCAACTTCTGTGCGTTACAGGAGAGGTGAAGGCAACGACAGCATAACATTCCATAAAGTGAACTACTTCAGCCCATGGGGACCAAATGACATGTCTCAGTGGTTTAAGCATCAGATTTAAAATACACCTATGTCCTTCTCTAATATGGGCTTATGGAGTTGTGGGATGCTTAGGTTTGCTTGTAGCACAACTGAAGTGTACGTGTGAGAGTCAAAGGCTTTCTGAAATCCACTGGGTTTGCTATTGTTGATGTATTTGCTCGCACAAAGCTTTATGTATCTTAATATTTAGCCCACTGCTTGCAGAAACTTGAGGATTGGAATACAAAGGACAAAAGGAATAAAACATCCAAAGATAACAGGGCATACTAAAAAGGTAAATGATACAAAGAGGAGACATGAGTAAAAATTCATCAACCTAGCACAGTATATAATGCTGGGAAAATGAAGATAAGTATAATGCTGGTAAATGTAAATTCAAGTCACAAATTGCATATTGCGATATACTCTTTCCAAGACTTCATTACAGTTCAACTGCAGAACTAGCTTGGGAAGTCTCAGACCCATGAGAAGGATATTTTATAAGCATTAAACTCATTAGAGAAACAAAACAGTGGAAAAACAACCCTGACATCATTTTTCTCATTTGCACCTGGGCTTGCTGATGTTGTTTCTGCTGACTCCCCATGTTTTGAGCTACAGAGGAATCACACAAGAGGACTGCATTTATGAAACCTAAAAGTACCTGTGACACCTTATTAGTGAGTTAAGAAGACAGATCCATCAACTCAAGCACCTTATTTGTGCCTTTTATTCCCTGCTTTTTCTCCTCTCTGCAGTATGTAGAGGGATACCAACAAACACGGAACAAACCTCAAATTAACCTAAGACGACAGTTTGCAGAAATGACCCACTGAGAATAAACCAATATTTGAAGAATCGAGGATAAACAAGTACTGAAGACAAAACACAGAGGGGGTGCATTCAAAATGTAGCACCATAAAAAATTGATAGCATGTTAGGGATTTCACACTGATATGCACTAGAAGAGATGGCTAGGCAATTAATTTATATACTGCTATGACTGCAGAGGTTAGAGCCAAATATGGGGCTGATTTCCAACATTTCGTCCTCTCTTTTGGCCCTCTCCATACACGCAGATTTAGTTCTACATTTACCTCAGGCAGTTTCCTACACATGGAGCAGTCAGCAGCCACTTAGGATAATTTATAATGAGTAGAACAGAATAATACATGCTGTTTTATTAGCCAATTTGCTAGACACTAACACTGCTCTAAAACTCAGTTCCAGGGCAATGATTGATACAAATGTCAAAAATACGAGGTTAAAATTGGAAAGGGAAATGCTGAAACAAACCATGAACTGATATGAAGAAGGCAACTCCAGGAAAACATGCCAAATTGCATTTTTTCTTAATGTCTTCCTGCATTCAACATATTTACAGGCATTCTGGCCAAACTGGAATTCTGTATCACCCAGGTAATCATGAAATGCCAAGAAATTATCTGCAGTTTCACCACAATGGGTTCCTGTCAGCTGGATCTCTGCATGTTTTCTCAGTGAACTCATTCCTGTTGATCCCAACAAGACTTGCATTGTTAAATCCAGGAAAAGGCTGTCAACAGCACGCAAACTTGTCTTGTGATCCTAGGTGCTGTCTCAGCTGGCCATGGTTTGTGTTAAGTCTCTGCACTAGTGTCAGATCAGCTCAGGAGTCAATAGAGTTAGTTTACTCCCAATTTAACACCGTGGTTATTTTAATGAGAGAAATACCCATTCTCAAACAATACTTCCCACTGTAAAGCCAAGCTCTTGTACAATAAATTGTACAGTAAAGTTGCAAAATGCACAAAGAGACCAATTTTAAAAACTAGCCACCTAAAACCAGAACCTGCTTGTCATAAGCAAAAGACACATCTGTGTCCAGGACAGATTAAGAAACTACTCTGAAGATTATGGTAAACTAGCGGTTGATGACTGTGGTGCACAAAATTGTTAAGAGTTAGGCCTGCTAGCACACTTTTTTTCTCAGTGATAGACTTCAGTACTACAGCTATGCAATATAACATGTTATTGTTCAGTTTCTCAGGTAGAGAAACAATTTTACTTTTGTCATTTGCTCTACATTCTCTCATTCACTTCAGTATGCAAGGCACTGCTATTGCAATACTGCTTGCATCATCATGCTGTGTTAATTTTAAAGATGATGCCATAAGATTTGCAAGGAAAAGGATTGTCCAAGGGAAAGCAAAATGAACTTCCAACATTTAAGCGTAAATGACAATCAGAAATTCATCTAACATATGGCTATCTAACAAAAAGAAAACCTGGGTTCAAATGCAAAGAGTGCAGTCCACATTGTTAAGCCTCTTTTTGTTCTGATGCTAACGGGAAAGCTTATCTTACCTGGTAATGCACTCTCTGTGTAGTAGAAGTTACCGACTGTAGGTCCTAGTAGGAGGATAAAAAAAATTATGAAAAAAGTTAAAGCGACAAGAGCTGTTTGCAGTACTATCTGAAGTGGTTGGGCAAACACAAATAATTTTGCAAGTATTTCTTACTGGTTTTAAGTATATTAAACAAACACTAGAGAATAGTCATGGAAAGATCACTTAAAGTTTAGATTTGTATGCATTTGGTGAAAAAAATGTTTTTTTAAAATATAAAGATCATATTAATGGATCTTCACCATATCACAGACCTATTTGTTCATGAAAACTATCTAAATTTAAAATATCAGCAATAAAATGAAAGAAAAGATGCTAAAATTCATGAATCTTTTTTGCAAATATTTCTGAGCAATTAATGCCCTAAAGAACACCACTGGCAGCTCTCCCTGTTGTCTCATGACAACCTCATGTCAGGGAGGTTATATCAGAATGACCCTGGTATTTAGCAGGGTTCAGGAATCTAATTTATTTTAACAGAGATTTTGCCAAACAGTTTTAGCTCATGACACAGCCTACAGACCACGGCTCCCCAGCTGGCATGCAAGTTGGCAGAGTGTAGAAAGCCTTGGCACCTCCATTCCCAGCAAAGGGGTCTAAGCCAAACCAAGCAAAAATAAGTAGTACAAACCCTGAAAAAGGTTATGGAGTTGTGGGAAACACAGTTCCTCCACAACCTGTATGGGTAATTCAACCAGAACTTCTAGCTGTGCATCCTCCAGGGCTGTACAACTACTCTCCACTCAATACTTGCCATATTAAGTTGTCTGAGCTCAGTCTGAGATCACATTAGTAATCTGCTGAGAATGTCATCCCTATTACTTTAGTGTAATTTTCCATTACCAGATACCTCAAATACATCACCTCACAATATGGTTTTATGTCTGATACTAATAGCCACACCTTAGGTCTGAATGTTCAGATATGCATTTGATGAAGGGAATCCTGGCTGAAATGCAAAAAAAGGAAAGCCTGTAGTCAGATACTAGGGCCCATATTCAAGCTGCAAGTGCAGAGTTTGAAAACCACAGGGAAGTCAGTGGCTCCCAAAGAGTTCAGTGGGAGGGATGAGGTTCATAGCTCCCAGGTAAACTGGACTACCTATTTAGAAACCTACATAATGTCCTCACACTTATAAATGTTGTTGAATGATATCAGTACAAGATTAAAAACAGTCAGAGACAGTATATTAATGAAAATCCATTAATTTTATCACTAAATGCATACACCCTTAAAATTATTCAGGTAGTAGGGTATTTGGAGTCTCCATTTCCCAGACTGTATTTTAAAATGAACTCTCATGAGGCTAGGTGTTCAAGACAATAAGAGCAACATTAATATTAGATGCATGAGCATATATTTCTGTGTATTTGGAAATATCTAGTTGGTACTTGTATCTCGTTGGTTTATTGGTGTCTCAGATTACTCCATGACAGTATTAGAGAATGACATTTGCATAATTAGACCCACTCAAATACCACGACATTTATCCTTAAATAACACACTTTCTAAGCAGTAATTTGTGTAATTTCAGCAAGGTATCTGGAGAGTCCTGGTATCCCATTCCAACCCAAGGAGAAGTAAACACACCCATCCACATCAATTTTGCTATCATTTAAAAGGATACAGTATGCCTTTTAATTTCTTGTTTAGAAAATATTTTTCAGTGCTATTCCTGCATTTATTGTGATATTATAACTCTAAAGTTTTGTTTTCAGTGGTAGGCAAACTGCAATGCTCTTCATATATGGTTGTTGCAAGTATTAGACCTCTGCACTCAGAACTGAAAGCAGCATTACATAGTAATAATAATATATGATACCTGAACTCACAAAAACCTCACCTCTTGTAGACGGTCAATGTACATACGACAGGTCTCCAAGTCACAGTCTCCTCGTACCACTATAATTCCTAAGGGAATGGCTGGAAAACCAAAAACAAAGAAAAGCTCTTTAACTGAAGGCTCTTGAACTTTAAAAGATTTGCAATATGCTGCTTTTTTTTTTTTTTAAATAATGTCCTCGCAAAAGCTTTCTGCTATCTAAATCTTAACAGTCATTTAAAAGCAGGAACATATTATTCATCAGTAGTTTCACCTGTCTATAATTATCAAAGATTCCAGTTTTCAACTATCTTTCATACCAAAGCAGCTAAAACAGATTCAGTTCAATTGTGTACTCCATTGCTTAATGTCAACATCAATTATTAACTGCAAAGAAAAGAACATACCCCAGAACAAGAGTTTAGGGAGGTGCCCATATACATTGAGGTAAGAGAGTAATATTTCATTTTTAGAACTCTTAAAACTCTACAAAACTGATTTAAATTAATAAAAGCCACAGCCTGAAGTCACTGTCTGATTTCAGAAAAAAATGCCCAGCACTATGTTATTTTGATGTAAAGCTGCTTTCTAATTAAATCAGACGTTATTCCATCTGCGCACAAAATTGACACAACTCCATATTTTCTCAGAGAAAAAAAGAGAAGTTGTAAAAATACTGCAAATCATTCCCCTCAGCTGAGGGAAGTAGTTTTAATAACAGGGGATTTTGGTTTCCACAGCCATTATGTTCTTGCAGTCAAAAAAACCCAGACAAACCCACAAAAAGCAGAAAAGAGAAAAAAGTATATGTGAGTCCACAAGGAAGGTATCAAGAGAGCTACCTACTAAGATCTTATTAAATAAAAAGAAAACAAGTGAAAACTCTCGAGTCCCTGATTTTTCTAAAACTGAATCACTGAATTAAGTTCTTTTTTCTCCCTGGAGGCTCTTTAATCAAACAGTGGCCCCAAAAAGTAGGGGAGCGGCAGGAAGGAGATTTATATCCTCATATGAAGTATTCCAGAAGGAGAGCAAAATATCAACTCATAAACGAGCTTGGTAACTGGATAACAAGAAGCAACATAAAGTCACTGGCAGTTCTGAGATAAATAGAAAAAACAGCTGTGCTGCAGCCCCTCCTGCCATTCAAAAGAAGTCGATTAAGAGGGAGAGATATTTATCTGCTGAGAAGCTCTTTGTCCTGGTAAGAGAATGAGAAAGTGCTAAAAGACAATGGGCAACGTGGCCTACGTTTTTGCGGCCCACTGAGGCGAGAAGCACAAAGAGAAGCTCGGTGGTCTCAGGGAGGAGAGTCGGGGAGCACCTACCGCAGTCAAGGTCACTTCGGGCCTCAGAGGCCAGCGCAGGGCTCGGGGCACACATCGACAATGCTGCCAGCGTCATGTTTGGAAAGTAATTCCAACAGCAGAGCAGCTATGAACCCGGGGAAACCGGAAGCAGGGGGAAAAAAGCTGGAGGGAGAAAAAAACAAAATAAAGGGGTAGGCAGGAAGACTAGGGAAGAAGGGAAGAGCTCGCGCTTCTCCCGAAGCAACGATGACAGCCGATAGCAATGCCAGTCCACTTGCTCGTTTTCGGAAAGGCCAGGAGGGAGCGGTGGTCATCGCAGCCTCCCCGGTTTTCTCGTCACAGAAGGGAGACTGGGCGACAAGCGAGGGGGACATGGGTCAGTCGTGAGGTTTGCTTCACGCGCTCCAGCGCTGGGCTACGCACAGACTCGCTCTGCTTGCGGTTCGTTATTGCTTAACCTGCTCTGACGGGAGAGCCGTAAGCTCTTTGCAGGGAGTGCTTAATGGCTATCTAGTTTCAATTCAGCAGATCCCTCTGCAGCCCTTACTGAAAGAAGCTTTTGTTAAATTCATTTATAGCACTAAAAACCAAATCGCAGCAGACACAACTACACCTCCGATAGCTACAGCGCACGAGGGAGCTACACCACTGGCTCGTAAACTGTCACCACAGATTTTGTCTCTTTCTTTCCTTCATGGCGGAGTATATGCACTTACTGGGGACCAGAGTTTTGACCTGTCCAAACAACGCAGCTAAAACAGAACTGAAATCTGTAATTATCATCGTTCCTGACAGCCCAAAGGAGAAGGACCTTACGAACGGTTGGAATTCTAAAGAAAACCACCAAAATGTCTGAAAACACTAATATGCAGTAGAGAGCTGTAACGGGTTTCCGTAGCAAGGTTTTGGTAGCAGGGGGCTACAAAGTGGCTTCTGTAAGGAGTTGCTAGAAGCTTCCCCTCCGTCCAATAGAGCCAATGCCAGCCAGCTCCAAGATGGACCCAGCGCTGGCCAAGGCCGAGCCCATCAGTGACAGTGGTAGCATCTCTGGGGTGACAGAATTAAGAAGAGGCAGGGTGGGAAACGGCATGTGGCATTTGTAGTGAGAGACAGGAGTGAGAATATGTGAAACAGCTCTGCAGACACCCAGGCCAGTGCAGAAGGAGGGGCAGGAGGTGCTCCAGGCACCAGAGCAGGGATTCCCCTGCAGCCCGTGGTGAAGACCATGGTGAGGCAGGCTGTCACACTGCAGCCCACGGGGCTCTACAGTGGAGCAGATCTCCACCTGCAGCCTGTGGAGGACCCCACACCAGAGCAGGTGGATGCTCAAAGCAGGCTGTGACCCCTTGGGAAGCCTGCACTAGAGCAAGCTCCTGGCAGGACCTGTGGATCCATGGAGAGAGGAACCCACACTGGAGCAGGTTTTCGCAAGACTTGTGACCCTGTGAGGGATTCATGCTGACATCAGTCTGTTCCTGAAGGACTTCGTCTCATG